AGGTCGGGCAGGGCTGGGGGGATGAGGAGGGGCCGATGGGGGAGGGGGCGCTGGGCGTCGAGGGGCCCACTTGGAGGTGGGTGAGGTAGCGTCAGAGGTGGGAGGCAACGGGTGCGAGGGGCAGCTTCCAGGGGGTGGCAGGTCGGCGGGCAGGGCGCTGGCACAGTCCTCGATGAAGATAGGGTTCACAAACCACAGGCGGTCATTTCCGACGGTGAGTTCGATTTCACAGGAGCAGTTTTCGTAATGGGACGCAGACCTGAGGGTGGAGGGTGTGGGCGCTCCGGGGGCGGGGTCTCTCTGGGGCTCCGCCGGGCTCCCACCTGCTCGCCGGGAGTTCAGTGAGGAGTCCCAGAAGCCTGTGGGAAGAAGATAGGAAGAAGCAGTCAGTCTCGGAGCTGGCGGGAGGGGGGTAGGGCCATGGGAGGGCCATCGCAGCTCTTACTTCACTGCTCCCGGAGCTGTTTTCCCCCCTTGGACTGTTTTAGGCCTCTTCCACCACTTCCTGCCTCAAGAGGGGACGCCCCATGAGATCCTCCGTGCAGTGCCGGGGTGGGGCCAGGCTGCGGTGGGGCCAGGCTCCGCTTCAGCTCTGTCCCTTTGTGTGTGAGGGCCCACCGTGGAGGGGACAGAAAGCCCAGAGTTCCGCAGCTGACCAGTTGGGTGCTCTGGGGCATGTCCCTTGACTATTCTAGGCCTCCGTCTAGTCATCCTTAGAATGGGGTCCCAACGGGGAAGGTGCGTGGGGCTCGTTGTGGCCGCTGCAGTTCTCTGGAGGCAGAACAAGCGTATGGGCTGTGGCTGCTGAGCTCAGGCCTGACCCTCCCAGGGGGGAATCCCTGTCCACTGCATAACGATTCTGACTGTGGCCCATCTCGTTAACATAGGAAGCTGCCCCATGCCCCCAGTGTGTGTGTGCGTGTGTGTGTGCGTGCGTGTGTGTGTGTGCGTGCGTGCGTGTGTACGTGCGTGCGTGTGTGTGTGTGTGTCAGAAAGCCGGGTCTCCTGTACGGCTGAGCTCATGCCTTTCTCCTAACCTAGCCCTCCTGGACCCAGCCCATGGCTGCAGCCACCAAAGCAAGTCTGCCCGATCCAGGCATCGCTGGTTAGCGCCAGGCTGTCCTGGGCGAGGGGCACGAAACATCCAAGCTGAAAGGACATTGGGGGTCGACTAGCTCAGGAGTGTTTAAGTTCCGGGTACCAAGCCCTGTGGAGAATGTGATGGAAGCTCAGGACTTTCCAAAAAGGGCACAGGGCACAATGTTTTGAGAACAATTTCGTTGCCCGTCAGCCACTCTGAGCTCACTCAAGCAGCGAGCCCAGGTCTTGTTCAGCCTGTGAATTTTAGAGACCCGTCGTTAGTGATGGAGCCAGGACTCTAGACTCACACCCAGAGCTCCTTACTACGAAAAATAACGCCCAGGACAATAACAAGAGCAAACATGCACTGAGCTCTGGCCGGGCGGGCGCCTTGCTTTCCGTGGATCCTCTCACTGATCTCTGACCACAGGTCTTTGGTATAAGTTCTGATATTGTTCCCATAATACAGATGAAGATAGAGACCCAGAGAGAGTAAAGAGCTTGTCCAAGGTCACTGGGTTGGTGAGTAAAGGAGCTGGGATTTGAACCAGGTCGGACTGACTAGCTCTAAAGGCTGTACGTTCGGCCGCTGTGCTGGCTATGCGGCCTTCCTTCATCGGAACTTGCGACACTTCCCATCTCGGTTGCTCTGCCAGCGTGAGTGAGTGGAGGGTGGTGTGCACCCCAGAACTGGGGATGTGGTTAGAACACAACAGGCTCTTGACACAAGATGACACAAGATGGCCAAGGGCAGCGTGTGCATGTCTGCGCTAAGGATGGATATTCTCAGCGATGCGAGCACCTGTCCCCTTGCTGGCCAGGGGGTCAATGACCCAGTCAAGGTGGTCGGGGTGCAATCCTAGGACCATGGGCTGCCGAGAAACTGACTGAAAGTGAGCCACGTGCATCCCCCTCTGAGACGGACCTCGGGGCTCATGGCTCAGCCCTGTCCTGGGCAGAGACCTTGTGTCTGGCATTCTGAGTGTCACAGCCAGCTGCCTCCAGAATAACAAGGATACAAGGATGACGAGCTTCCATATGACTCTTTCCAATTTGCAAAGCTCTGTGTACATCACAGCCACTACCCGAGGACATAGAGTGCTGGAACGGGGCGGGGAGTCTCCAGGCTTCCCCGCCACACAGCCGAGCTGCCCTTTACCATTCCGAGGACATAGAGTGCTGGAACGGGGCGGGGAGTCACACAGCCGATCTGTCCTTTACCATCGCCGGGGCCCTGCACTTGGCTTTTGTGGGAAGCTACCGGCCCCGTCCCGGGTGCATTCTCCTCCTTGTGGCACCAGGCAGGGCACATAGTAGGCCCTCGATTGTGGGTCACAGGCAAGGTTAGTGTTGATGGCGAGGTGGGGGCAACCTGAACCTCGGGAGTTAGTCTAAAGGCAAGAGAATGAAGAGACGAGAGAATGAGAGGAGGAAGGCACAAGGGGGGCATGGAGCTCCCTCAGTGGATCGACCAGTTGGATGGACCTCAGTATGGCAGGGTGGGCCTGTCATGCACAGATTAAAACAACAGCAACAACAATAACAACAACAACAACAACAACAACAACAACAACAACACGTTTCCCACGCCTCGGCTTTGGGCTCAGCCTGCGTGACTAGAAACTGCTCCCCGTCCCAAAGACAGCCCTGATGGTTGCATCCTGGTAAGGCAGAGGCCTCAAAGCCAATGCCGCTCTGAGGGGTGGGGGAAGCTGAGATCTGAGGGGCTGCACTTTGGGGTCTGGAGGCTTGTTAGGGAATCATAATGGCACTGCAGGGCTTTATGCTCAAAAAAAAAAAGAAAAAAAGGCGGGGGGGTGGGGTCCAGGAAGTAGGTCACTTTCTTTGCAGCCTGAAGAATGCCAAGGCCAGAGGAAAAGCAGAATACTGTTATGCAATTCTAGTGATTGGCAAAGCTGTGGGCATCTGTGTCCGATGGCCCTGTGCCAGGCCTTGGCTCGGCTGCTGCCATTCCCCCAAGGGTCCCTGCCTTCAATGCCTCTGTGCTGCCCTCAGACTGAGGAGGGTTTCGCTGGCTCTATGGCCTCCTGCGCCTCGGCTGGGGACACCTCTTGCCAGGTGTCAGCTCCTACAATCCTCAGAGGGCCTGGGCTGGGCAGGTCCCGGGGGCAAAAGCTTTCACCCTTAGAGAGCCCGGCTCGTGTCAGGACAGGGAGGGGAGGAGAGAATCCAGCAAAGTATTCCAGACACCGTGGAGACAGCTCAGCTCACGAGTGAACTTCTGGGCTGTCATGCGGTGCTGAGCTTGTAAATCGAACAGCTCTGCTTCAGCGACCTCACATCTGCATCTGAACGGTAGGGCTTGTGCAACTCTTCGAATGTTTATTACATTCTGTTCGCTTTGTAAAAAGGGCCAGAAAAATAACATTGCTAACACTTGCGATAGGTGTCACGTGCCTCATAAACTTACTGCAATTGCAAAAGCAGAAGGTGGGGATGCGGGAGTCAGAGCCTGGCCAGTGGAGGAGTCGGGGGGACAGGAACCTGGGGTTAACGGGGAC